AAAATAACTATGAATGAAAAAGTAAAAAAAAAAGAAATGATAGTTTATGGCCTAACGGAACATATGACATTTAATAGAGCGCAATGGAGAAATATGATTCGTGTAGCCGACCCTAAATAGTTAGGACTCAGGCTTTGGTAACTATGTTATTCTTCTTTTCGTCTTCATTCCCTAGTTGATTTCGAAACTCAACCAGCTATCACCTATTAAAGTTATGAAGAATTGATGAATTAAATTCATGAGGGGTCAACTGCTCTAATAGAACACGTAAAAATGGAAAGGAAGCTTTTAGAGTTAATAGTGTAAGGAATCATATAATAAACGTAGAGAAATTTAAAATTAAAAATTGATTCCTTATTCCAAGATTTATTTATGTTTAATATGACCAAGAAACGTTAGATCTATAGAGAAGATTAAGAGTTATCTTTTGAATTGTGCTTTAACAATCTTCAAGATTTCTAAAAAATTTTGAATCTTTAATTTGAATATCCACATGAATCGATAAACTTAAAGATCTATCTCACCCTTTGATAAATTAGTAGAGAGAGAGAATGCGGGGTGAATTTTCTTGTGCTAGTAAGAGAGTTATTATATATTATATCCACCTCCTACATGAAGGTATTATGGAGCCTTCGAAGACTCTAATCCTGGTTTGGGTCTAGTTGTAATTCTCTCATAATTGCATATAACCTTTTACTAACCATTAATTGTAATGAAGGCCCTAATTAACTCTTAATTAGGTTTTCACCCCAATTAACTCTTAATTGATTTTTTCTCCTTTATCATTTAGTTTCCAACCAATTCTACTGTGTGTCCCTATAGGTTCAAGTATACCCGATTGTAGGCATTTTATACTAACTACAAGTATCATCTCAATTTAGAACTCTTTCAAATTTAGCTTGAATTATAACTCTTCTAATTCTCCCTTTATGAAGAACAATTAATATATTTATATTAATTTTGTTCTTCGGGCCTCTACTAATCATGAGTAACACTTAGCAACATATCATGATCAATTTCCTCCGGATAGCGCGAAATAGGTAAAAAACCCATTTAGTCTACAATTACTATGCAATTCAATCATTTTATCACGCAATGCCCTAATTGAATTACTAAGGTATGAAATTGTTGTCAAACCCCTAATTCAATCTTATTCGTTTAATTTTAGGACTATGACTCCTAATGTTCAATTAGAAACTCTTTTCTAATTGTCATTTTGTCTTGGCCAAGGACTCCTTGAGTTATATCCTAGAAGATCATAAGACATTCTCCCTTTATTTACTACGGGTGGTAGTTTCTATGTTGTACACTGATAAGTCTTCCAAATATGTTTAACTATAACCAACAATACATATCAAAATTCCATGGTTAGTATATAAATACGTTGTGTTGGTAAAACATAGAAATCCATCCATAAGACAACCATGGTGTTTGAAGTTTAAGGATCAGTTGCATAATTGTAATTTTATGATTTAACATTAATAGGTATGTAAAACTCAATTTGAGAAATCCTACGTTAGTCAATGGTCACGTTCGGTGTACTTATTATTTAACAAGCACTCACACATCTGTTTCAGTGTCCGCTAGTGACTTGACAAGTCACCTCATATCAAATATAAGCAAACATAGTGTATGCCAAGAAGTATAAGTCTCTTTTTTTCAACATCTTGATAAACTATCTTCTTAATTTATACTCTATTGACTTTATAATGCATGTTAAAATGAAAATAGTTAATAACATGAAAAATTAACTCGTCCTTGTATTTAATTAATAAATGAATGTTGTTAGTAGATTGATTTTTGGGCATACTACTAACAAATAGGATATCCTACACAAGAGATCTCAAAGGTAGATACAACAAAATACCACCTACAAGGTATGAAAAATTAGTTTTGCAAAACTATTCATTTTCCTTCCTATACTATTTTGACACCTTTTTTAAATGTGAGATAAATTAAAATATGGTTCTCCATCAATTACCTTGTATTTCACCTACATCAATGAGGGGTTACTTTTTTATTCTTCTTCGATGTGCACTCCTATTAACAATGACTTCCTTAGAAGCTTAAATTTGTAGAGGCATGAAACTATATATTTCAGGCGAACACCTCATATGTTGCATGAATAAGCCATGTTAACCGATGGTGTTTGTCCTTAGAATGCTGATATAGAAACATGCATAAATCCACCTGGCCATTAAGCTAATGTATCTAAAATTCCCAAATTTGAGGGTACGTGTCATGCCCTGAACTCAAACTCCGGACTCTGGTGCGCGAACTATTTCCAATCAATACAAAGCATTAAAAATCCTCAATAATTGATAAATCTCCAAACATTAAAATTACAATTGATGTCGAATATTACATTTTTTTTTTCAATAAATAATTACAATTACTAATTCCTCACTTAATCTGTTTGTTTATTGATTCCCATCACAAACTAAGCTAGCATTTGATTGGGATAAATGGGGGTGAGCTTGGTAGGCCCGATATAAGCAATTTACAACACAATATACAGAAACAAAGGGCCAAACGATAACCGAACAACCAATCACAAAAGCATGATAAAAAAAAGTATTTATCTTAAACACACTCAATAAAACCGTACAAAACTCAATACTCAAATCCTCGAATTACGCAGGACTTCATACCCAATTCATCTCAGCAAAATGCTAGGGGTCACTCAGTACATCCCATTGTCACAAAAGGCCTTCTGGGCCACAATCGCATCTCACTACATAGTCATGCCACCGAGTTCGCTTGTAGCATGTGCCGATAGGTCTTGAAACACTTCACCAACAAAAATATTTTCATCACAATAATCAACGATACATCAAATGAAAATATAAACGAATATCGAAACATTAACAATTGAACGGAAGAACAGAACACGATTAAGACAACAAAATAAAGTATTCTTTGAAAAGAGATTGATCAATGATGCATATTATGAGATAAACCACTTACCATTTGAACTGACGTCGTATCTATAGAGTTCTCAATGTCAAGAATAGCCTTCTAAATATTCTTTGTAATCGAACATGGTTTACCCATTGATCTGCAAACCAAAAGTCCTATCTTTCTAACTCTTCTCTAGTCGTCACTTTTCTGTGGTCTCTATACCTAACAATAGTATTCCATTTAATCACATGTAATCTAGTCCTAATAGGTCACCACCTCCCACTTTCAATAGTTTACACTAATATCACGACACTTCCCATCTAAATAACCCAATCAAATCCTTTTATTGCAGCGTTATAGATTATTACCTAAAATTTGTCAGTTCAAAGTAAATGTATTTAATACAAATCAACCAAATCACATAACTGACACTTTACAAGGCTAAATTATCGCAATGATTGTCTTTCTCTTCGGCGCTTATCATCTATTTGTTTTGAATATAAATTAATTACTAATTTATAACCCCACTTTTACTTTCTTTCCACATAAAAAGTAACCACAACTTAGAATTTGACCTGATTAACATTCTAATTTATAGTCCATTTTGAATCCACATTATATTCAATAGATTAATTTTGTTACACTTAATCGGTGGATAAATCAGGTAATTAAACATTACTTTGTTAATTCTTTTATTGATTTGGGGTATTACTGTAAGTTTTCATGTGATTGTATGTAATATCTTGTGGGGCATAATAACATCTCTTGTATTAACGCATTTTGGAGAACTTTGTTGTTGCATACTTAGATAGCTATTTATCTGTTAATAATATTCTGTTTTCCCAGAGTTTGGTTGATAGTTGAGCAATTTCGTTATTATTGTTTTCAGGTGAAGGAAGTTGGAATTTATCTTGTTGGTTGCCCAAGAATAGCAGAGAATGTTGAGGTCTACTATAACAACCTATGGGAACTTGCACATCTTGATGTTTCAGCTTACACAAAAACTGTATGGGATCAACAGTGGCAGGTTAATAGAAAAGTTCCGTGTTGGTCACATTTTCTCAATCCAAAAGAAAGGTGTAGGTATGACAAAGAAAACCTCTGCTTAGGACCATATTTGGTCAAAGTGTTTTTCTGTTTTAGATGTGTAGTTTTGTGCGTAGCCATCTAAATCTAAATTATTCTATCTGAATCACTGGGAATGGTGCACAATTGCTACCTTCTGTAAATCTTGTTCATGCAGGGTCACCACTTGCTTATGCTTCTACTGTTTTTGTGTACCTAAAAACTCCGGCATGTCATTTTGATATCTGGTCTCTTTGAATATTCCTTATTGCCTGAGATTTCACTTGGATGTATCAGATTAGCTAAAAGAAAGGTGTAGGTATGACAAAGAAAACCTCTGCTTAGGACCATATTCGGTCAAAGTGTTTTTCTGTTTTAGATGTGTAGTTTTGTGCGTAGCCATCTAAATCTAAATTATTCTATCTGAATCACTGGGAATGGTGCACAATTGCTACCTTCTGTAAATCTTGTTCATGCAGGGTCACCACTTGCTTATGCTTCTACTGTTTTTGTGTACCTAAAAACTCCGGCATGTCATTTTGATATCTGGTCTCTTTGAATATTCCTTATTGCCTGAGATTTCACTTGGATGTATCAGATTAGCTGTCAAATGCTGGTCGGATTTTTCTGAGAGGGTTTTAAGAAATAAGAATAGATCATATCTGTAGCATACATGTAGTTTCATCTTTGAGTACTTTGAAAGTCCAAAATAATGGTCCTTACGCATGGTTTTCTTGAACTTTTGTCAACTGTTGATCAAGTAGTTGGAGGAAATCCTTTATGGGTCATTTCTGCATACTTGCAGTTTGTATCAGTGTCAAGTGATTCACACTATAGCACATGAAAATAATTCACTTAAGTTTTTATTTTGTATTTTCTTTTTGTTTTGTTTTATGTAACTTGTTTAGAAAATTCATGTTTGGATGTCACAAGATCCTTGTTTTTGTACCATTCTAGCTATGGATATCCAAATTAAGTGTGTTGAAATGAAAGTGTACCATGTATTAGAACATTCATATCAAATTGCTACTTAGGATATTCGCGTCTTCTGGAAATGATGCCTTTGACAAGCTTCATTACTTTGTCTAGCGGTCTCTTTAAATGTCATATGAAACTCTATGTTTGGATATAATATCTCGGGAGCTTCCACACAGTGAACAAGTTAAGAGTATCGTGGTATATTTTATGTATGTTCCTTGGAACTACACCTCCTGACTTGTAAACTACGGTCGCTGCCTCCTAGGTCTCATTGTTAGCTCTGGAATACTCTCCTGCCACCGCCACAAATCCAGAAAAAGGTTGCTAGTGTCCCTACTCAAATGACTTGAAACACATCTTCATAAGAAGCATTATTAGATTGGTTGCCTACACACCAACTTCTGGTTTAGTCTTGACCCGAGCTTTTGAGAGTGTCCTTATTTTAATAGTTTGGATTAGGAAATAAATATGATTAAGGGGGAACATTGAAAATTTGAATTTTTCCTAAACATTTATATGAAATCCATATCTAGGTGATGAAAATACATTAGTAATGTGTTAAGAATAAACCTTTGGCATCCTCTACATTGCGGGTGATTGGCAACATTTACAAGCATGGCTGTACTCATTGCTAGAAGATTTCCTTTTTACTGCATATTAATAAGGAGAAGATCTTTTCCCAATTTGATGTCCGTTAATCGAGGATGTTGGATGCGTAGCTTGGGTACAAACCAAACCTTTAGCATTTTTTGCACAAAATTGTTATTGTCAGATATGTATGCCCAACCTTTGCCTTATTTTCTTCTTAATTGTATCAGAATGCATATTGAATAAATACGTATAAGCTAGTTAATTAATTGTTGGCTCATCGTATCTAACTTCCAAATGCTAGAATATGAGGCATGACTAATTTTCTACACTCATTCATACATATTTTATACTGTTGGTCTGATAATTACTAAAATGATATGCTAATATGACATAGCATGCATTGCTTGTTTAGTTCTTTTCATTTACTCACTTAATTGGACATTCCCAGTGGGTAAGTGTTCATGTCCTACTAAGCACCCATTTAATTTTGAGAAGATGCACCCATTTAATTTTTGATCTAAGAATCCTGAAGCGCAAGATGCTTCTTGAAACAATTTAGTTGCCTGGTGAAACATTATTAAGGACATGGTGGATGGCTAATGCAAAGCTCCAACAGCTGTATAGTCACTCAGGGGACAATGGACACAGACTACCATATTTTGTGTCCTAAATGGAATCTCTGATCCTAGAGTCACTTCCACACACAAGGACGCTGGAAGACCTGCTTATTTGACTATTACATAATGATACCAAAAAGAAAATCGAGCAACACAGTCATCTGTCTACAATGCAAAGTTGTCTGGTTAACCTACCATTATGTTACAGTGGATCTTTATGATTCTATGGTTTGTTGACTGAGTTGCTCCAGTGAATTATCTTTCTAATTTCTGGGAGATTGATATATGTAGAGACACTTTTTAGAATTGAAAGCTATCTTAGATGAAATATTTGAAAATATAAGCCCTACTAGTGTTAATTTGTCTAATCTTATATTACATACTGCTATCATTGTTCCTCTTAATTTGTAGGAGTATCCTATACTTCTCCTAAACTGGTCTTATTGGTAAGAAAACAAAGCATGAAGTTAAGATGTTCTTGCATCCTTGGAAATGTTGTTGATGGTACAGCATTTTGTAATGACAGATCACCTCTTCCTCAATACGTGGAGGTTCCCCACACAGCAGGCTATCCTGTATTGTCGGACCCTGACATGTTTCAAATGGCAATTGAAACTCCTGGAAGCAACAATTCTTCTTTGCATCCTCATTTTGGCTATCTCTCATTTGCTCCTCCAGAGGTCAGTGGCCGGTGCCAAACATTTTGCTAGCTTAACCAATAGGTATTTGCTTACTGCAAGAACTAAAGGGTGTCCAGAAACTGCTTGTTCTTTTCTCAACTATTATGGCAAACTCATTTAAGTCAGATTATGTAAAAAGATATTATAAACACTAGGTTGGGATTGGATTCTATCATTATTTGATCCAATAATCTGCTGTAGGCTTTCTTTAAATGCTCAAAAGATCAAAAAGGGGCAAAAAATCTAGCCATGCTAAGTTTGGTGACTGAACAGTATAGATGTTGTGTTCTAAGTCATTTTCGAGACATCTACTTGTAAATAATTGACTTTACTTTTGAGATTAATCCAATGACACCGCAACAATTCTGATGATCCATGACAATTTCAAACATAGGCTGCATGGTCGTTAATGCTATCTCATGATTGATTTAAATACTTTTAATCAAAAATTTTAAGTTCTGCCAAATGATGTCTCAGGTGTCCGTTTGTCATTGTTTTCTGCTTCATTCTGATTTACTTTCTGAACTGCAGCTGTCATTTGGCAAGTACCTGACTGATGAACAGGCATGGGTGGACACAATTAAATCTGTAGGAATAGGGGCGTCTGTTAGAATTAGTACTATGGATTGGCTTGGTCAATCCCAGTACACAAACCAAACAGTTTACTGGTCGACCCTTTCTTCAGCAGTGTCAGAGGTAACTTGCGGTTTCTTGAAATTATTTTGTTGACCAGGTTTTGTTCTGTTTTGACTTTACATCCTGAGGGCTGGCCTCTGCATTATGCAGTAAGGATTTTGATGGTTGACCCTGAGTTGAACTGTTGAAATCAGGAGGCAAGCTATGTGGCTTATATTGCAACTTATGTTAATATTTCAACAAATGCTTCAAGATTTTTCTTATTTGTTTGCCATTCTCTTTATATTGTGATTTTCATCTCATATATTCAAGCATATAAACATGACTCCGAAAGTAATCAGAACATATTTGCCATTTTTACAGTTCTCAATCACTTTATTTTGTTTAAAAATTCCGAATTTCAAGTTACGCACATTTGTATCTGACACCTGTATATTTTTACCTGGCTGTGCGTGAGGTAAATTTACTTGAGTGGCCTTTGTTTAATACATATTGAGCTTAGAGGGCTAAATTATTTTCATTGTTTATGGAGATGCACTCAGGCACTCATGGTAAATTAGGTGTGATTTTATCGCTGAAGAAGAAGCAATGATATATTCTTTTGAAGAAAGGATAATGTGCCTCTTACAAATCCATATTTTATCTTGCTATTCTTTAGCTTGGGGAGTTTTTTGCCAGTGAAAATTTGTTGGCCAGCTGACAGCTCTAATAGGGCTGGACCTTAGCTTATGGGCTGCATTTAGTGCCAAATTAAAAAATGGAAGAAAATATCATTGCATGAAATTTTAAAATGCTTGTTGTGATAATTGCAAAATATTGAGATAATTACAAAATATCTATAATGCGTAATAGAGCCTTCATGAGTAAGATCTGACATGGGACCTGCAACAATGTTGTGTCAGTAGTACAGGATTGATTATTCTGGAACTTTTTGGCATTCAATTAACTTAGCTACTCATGTTTCCTGTATTCGGAAGCACTCTCTCGAACTATTAGCATCAGCCTGAAGTAATTTAACCTTATTTGCAGTGGTGAATCAAGCATTAATTCATTTTTCTTTGCATAATCTGAACATTAACGTTTGGAAGAAATAGTGTGAGGAAATTACATTGTTACTGCTTTACCCACTGCATGGTATAGTTTGTGACCTGTAATTCGTCTGTTTAGCCCTCTCAATGCAAGAACATATTAACCATTCGAGCTGTAGGCTGTGTATGTCAGAAAGACTAATAGAATTGGAAGCAGCTAATGATCTTTGATGCGGTGTAGTTAAGTCAAAAAGAAGATGAATTGGTTAAAAGTGAGATTATAAGTAATGACACTTCATGCTTTTTGATGCTACTGTTCTCATGAATTGCCAAGACCTTGCAGAATATGCATGTATAGTATTGGTAAGTGTCATAAATTAATTAGATGGTCGTATGGCACTAATTTTCTGGTGTTTAATATTTGAAATTTAGTGAGGCTGTGTTTCATGACTAAGTGCATTACTGCATACGATCTTAATTTCTAGGCTTTGGAATACTGCCAATTTTTTCTTGGTTATAGGCAGAGATGGTGCAATCACATAAGAAAAGTTCCACACAAGCTGAAAATTCTTAAAATGTTCCTGTAGATCTACCACTATGATAAAATGAATTTGAGACTTTACCATGGAAAACAGGATAATCATACTATTCTTGTTGTACCTCCAGAGTCCAGATAACCTATCTTGTTCTGTTGAACAAAGTGACTAGCCGATCCTCTTGGTGCCCATTTATGCATATTTTGTATATCTATCCAGAGTTTGAAATCTTGACCTTCTAACCAGTTTTCTGAATTGTAGGTTATCTTCTCAAAGCATGCAGAGGTCAAGATATTAGTGGCATATTGGGCACATTATATCAACAACACAGATCAGTATCTGAAGTCTCTTCTCTACTCCAATACCCTATGCTCTTCCTCAAAGTACAACAAATGTTCTGGCAAAGTTGAGATCAAATACTACATGGTGCCTGGATTTAATTTGACTGGACCTGCTAATCTGAATGGAACAAGCACTGGAAATATTTATCCGGGCTTTACTAGAGTCAACCATGGAAAATACACAGTTAGCGATGTGCGAGCCCACATTGGAACCAGCAATCTGATATGGGATTATTTCTATACGACAGCGGGTGTCAGCTTCGGGACATACAATCCTGCCATTATTTTGCAACTTCAAGAAATCTTTGATGCTGATTGGAATTCACCATATGCTGTTCCAGTTGAATCATTGGAGGAAGCTCGTGCTTATTCAAGTTGATGAAATTTTTGAACTTGTTGGCAACAAGTTGAAAATAAGAGAAAGAGGTAGCTACAAAAGTGATTGAAGACCTGAAGATTCCGACTGCATAGTTACACGACTGAGCTGATTGCATGCGCTTTAAATTGCCAAGTTTTCACCTTAGAACTCATTCTCAAAAACCAGCTACAGAAGAATAAACTGAACTTATTTAAGCTGATCATATTGAGAAAGAGACTGGCACTTGTAACAGGCCAGTATAAAAGACTCTCTCTCCCTCTCAGAGTAGGTCCTCTTTTCTTTCTTTTTTTTTTCTTCCGTACAATGCTACACTACACAAAAGTAGAGTCAACCAGGAGCAGAAATAAAAAAAGGAAAATATTTTTGGACTTTATATGAGAACGTTGTTCAGGAATTTAATGATGTATAACTACTAGATTAATTGTGGGTTCCATCTAACGTTGTAATTCACAACTAATTCAATGGTTGCGTTAAATCTCTAAGTAAGGTCCCCAAATAAGGTTCTTATAGCATTGCTCATAAAGAAAATGTGTTCTTAGCTGTAACCCATCTTTCATAAGTCTGTCAAATTTGTGTAATGTGATTCGGCTAAAAGTTAGTTTTAAATTTACATAAGTAGTTGTAATTTTATTACTAAAAATTATTATTTGAAAGATGAATAATTTTAAATAGCTCCAGAGTCCAGATTAAATATACTATCCAAATTAAACACACTTCTCACTCTCTTTTATCTAATTATTTTTGAGAAATTCAATTTTTGAGGGTCTAAACCTATGTTGATTATACATATTTTGAAAGTTTTTTGTTGAAAAAATTTGTTCAAATGCTTGCCAACTTTTGCTGGGTAAGTTTGAGCAAACATTTAAGATCAAGCTTACTGGTTGCCCAAACTAGAACTTGACAAGTCAAAATCAAATTCCGTCCGAACATTTGAGAACTCCATAAGCTCTGGGTTGATTAACACTCTAACCAATAACTAGCACCAGCAAAGTCCTTAACTAGTTGAGTGGTCAAGCTTATTCTCTTATAAATAAGTTTCGAGTAATTGACGTAAATTTTTATACTTTGTAACAAAAAAATAAAAATAAAAATAAAAATTAGCACTAGAAAGTTATGAATAGTTAGAGCATCTTTAATCTTTAACTCTTTTTAAAACTCAAATTTAAATTTCGGTGAAAAACTCATAAAAATCTTTTCAAATATTAGAACCATGCCCATATGACTCATTTTTTTTTTATTCAAAGAGACTCAAATTCATATACAAATATTTAATGGACAGATTTAACATTTCTTTAAAGATTCAATAATCGAATTTTATTTTATTTTTTTAAAATTTAAATTTGTAATCAATTAAATTTTAGTTTTTTTTTCTTATAAATTTGAAATTCTCAATTAGAAAGGGGCATACTTAAATCAAAAATTTTATCATTTTTTTTTCTCAAAATTAGTTAAGAGTTTGGTTTCGTACGGTTTCCAAAAGCAGCGCGCTTCACAGAGCAAAGAAGACTACCAGTAACATATAGAGAGGCCTATAGCCGCAACAAAGAGCTCTTCCAAGAGAGAGAGAAAGATTGATTGAAAATGCAGGGACTGAGAGTCTTGCTGCCAGTGAGGCGTTCCTTGCACAGACATGGCTTTGTCTTACATAACAGAAGCTTTTCTGCTCAACTCAACTATGCCCAATACGATGATATTCAAGAACAGGCCAGTGCACAGACACCCACACACATTCTATATGCTGCCGGTCAATTTTCGACAAAACCGATTTAAATTTTTTTTTTAAATGCGCTTCTTTGACTTCAATAGTTATCTTTCGTCTGTTACTTTCTCAAAAAAGTTTAAATCTTTGAAGAAACCCTTGTTTTTGTTTGTGTTTGTGTGGGTGTGTTGGTTTTTTGGTTTTCTGGGCCCCTAAAATGTCTGTGCTTTCAGGTTTTGGTTGAAGGAAGAGCTAATTCAAGAGCAGCCATACTCAACAGACCAACTGCACTAAACGCTCTCACTACTTCTATGGTTTATTCTCTTTCCTGCAGAATTATCATTTCTTATTTGTGGCTTTTGTTGACAATGTTCTTTGTTTCATATCCATGTGTGGAAGTTGTGAATTGAGTTTGTTTCTCATTACAGGCGGCTCGGTTGAAGAGACTGTATGAGTCATGGGAGGAAAACCCAGATATTGGATTTGTCATAATGAAGGTAACAAACACATTTTTGTTATAAAATATTTTGAAACTGTTGAAAAGTGAGTTTGGTTAAGAATCTAAACTATGATTGGAATATATTCAAGGGTAGTGGCAAAGCATTCTGTTCCGGCGGGGATGTTGTTACACTTTATCAGTTGCTTAATGAAGGTGGGCAGCTATCAATCTTTTTTGCTTGCTAGTCTAAAGTCAATCAATTTAAGCTTTTAAGGTGATATTGCCCTAAGAATGGTTAACTTCAGTACATTATTACTTCTATGATAATTGAGGTGTTTGATATTGCATGGACATGAAAATAATTTATTTTTGTTTACCACTGCTTACATTGCCATCCTATTCAATTTTGACAGCCTTGGGACTAATTCTATTGCAAGTGTGAAGCAGATTGTTTTTAGGTGTTCTATTATATGATTCATCATTTTGATTTAACATTAGTTTTTGTATATGTCTGTGGTTCTGAGCATTATCTTGGTCAATTACAATCATGAAACTTTGTCTTAC